TAGAAGTCAAACAAAAGATGTGTCTAGTAATTGTAATTGTGTAATTATACTGAAAATTATGGGGTTGCCATCAGTAATTTCTCTTTACCAGTTTTGATTTAGATAATAGATATATCAACTTTGAAGCTTTTCATGATCTTGGAGGAGTGTGACATGAATTCTCATACAAACACATTTTTTATGCAAAGAGAAAGTCTCATGCTTGTTGAAGAAATCTGCAGTGAGTCTCTTTCATTTGAGAGGCTGACTTTACATGAAGGGATACATTTCTGGTAAAAGTCAGAGTCTGACTCTTCCATGAAGAGATACATACCTTCAGTAATGCAGGTTGCTGTCTCCAAAATAGCTGTATGACTTATGAGTAGTTCTAGAAACTCTGAGACAGACTCATTTCTGGTCTTGGGTCAGCTGCAGTCTGTATCTGAGATCTTAGTCACCGGAGAGTGAAGAGAAATATTGGTTCTTCTTTTCTTCTATGGCAGCCTGGGGTTATACACTTGTAAGACAGAAATGAGTATTTCATCACAGACAGTATGTACTATACTTAGTGAGTGTAAAATAAACGGAGTTATTTGCTATCTTATTTAATAGGATAATAGAAGAGTTTGGTTGCTGTGGACATTTAAAGATCATCTAGTACAATCTCCCTGTGACAAGCAGGGACGTGTTCAACTAGTCAGGTTGCTCTGTACAGAGCCCTGTACATCTTGACTTTGAATATATCCAGGCATGGGGCATTTACCTTATCTCTCTGAACAACCTGGGCCATTGTTTCAACATCCTCCATATAAGGAATACCTTTCTTACGTCTAGTGTGAATCTACTTTCTTTCTACCACATTTGACCCCCTTTTTTTTTTTTTGGTTTTTTTTTTTTTTTTTTGTTTTGTTTTGTTTTGTTTTTTTTTTTGCAGTTCTCCTTAAAATGACGGGCTGCTCTATGGTATTCTCAGAGCCTTTTCTTCTATATGCTGAACAGCCCAAATGTTCTCTTTTCATAGGAGCGGTGTTCCATCTCTCTAATCATCTTGGTGGCCCTTCTGTGGATTCTCTCTCACAGGTCCATGTCCTTCCTGAGCTGATGCAGCCCTGCAGGTGGGGTCTCAGCAGGGCAGAGCAGAGGGGCAGAACCCCCTCGCCATCGCTGCTGCCCACGCTGCTCTGGATGCAGCCCAGGACACGTTTGGCTTTCTGGGCTGTGAGTGCCCATGGCTGGGTCATGTCCAGCCTCTCACCCACAGCACCCCCAAGCACTTCTCCCCAGGGCTGCTTTGATCTGTTAATCCCACAGCCTGTGTTGGAACCAGGGGCTGCTCCAACACAGGTGCAGCACTTTGCACTTGGTCTTGTTAAACCTTATGAAATTCCCATTCCCATTTGTCCGGGTCCCTCTGAAGGACATCCTGATCCTGTCCTTCGTATGTGGCAGCTGCATCATTTAGCTTGTTGCTATCTTCAAACTTTCTGAGAATGTTCTTGATCTACCCTGTCAATGTAGTTGATGAAGATATTAAATAAGTTTGATTTCAGAGGGACACCACTTAATTGCCAGCATCCATCAGGACTCTGAGCAGTTGACCACTACCCTCTAAATACAACCATCTAGTAAATTTCTTCCCACTAACATAGATACATCTCTCTCCAGTTCAGTGAGAGGGAGCATGAGGGGATCTTACAGAAGTCCAGATAAATGACATTTGTAGCTCTTCCCTTGTCCACTGATGTAGTCACTTTATCATAGAAGGCCACTCAGTTTGTCAGGCAGGACTTTTCTCTTGGTGAAGCTATGCTTGGTGTCTTGAATGTAATTTGAAATCACAAATAACATAGCCCCAATAACCAACAGTATTTTTTTTTTTTGCTTTGATGTGGTGTGACACCTACACAGTAGAGAACAGTACATAGTAAGACAAATGTTGCTGTAATCCTTCAGGAATGTCAGTCAGAATACTAGGAACCTTCTGTTCTTTTCTGGTGTAAAAATATGCAGAAGGGAACAAATTAATTCAGTGACTGTGTAACTGCTGGGGATCAACTGTTAAGCTGCCTTTCTGTATCCTCTTTGTTTCATGTGACTAGCAGGGATGCAGGTACTGGCTGCCATCCAGCCTATCTACTATGACCTCACCATGGGAATTGCATAGCATGTTCACAAAAATGGAATTGTCAAATTTTAATTGTATTGAATTTGGGGATAATTTTTCAAGTACCCCTTTCAATTCCATTTCAAACAAGTTTACTTCTAAAGCTGTGAAATTTTTCCAATACAATATCTTTTTTTTCTGAAAAGTACTTCATTTTTTGTTTACTCAAAAGTTATATTAAACAGGGTATATCTTGGTATAACGGAGAATTCAAAAACAAACTCAAAGAGCAGATTTAGTCCAAATTTTACAGCAGAAGTACCATATATTGGAGGCAGACTATGTAGAGACAGATCTGTCATGCTGCTAAGCAGCACTGACCTAAGTAATCTTAAAGCCCTCAAATATAATTCATGTGAATACATGCAGCTGATGATTTCTGGGATCATTGAAGTGCATTGCAGTCACTGGGCTGATGATTGGATAAAGTGTTCCACCCTGGGTATAGGACTATAAGCTTTGGAGAACATAATCTCACCAGCAAGATTGAAGTTTTCCTGGAAATAATTTTGCTAACTGAGGGAATTAGCCTAGTATAATCCATGGTGTGTTGAATTGCTGGAAATTCCCAGAACATGATTATTATCAGCGTCATTCACTGTCATGCATCACCCTGTTTCTCTTCTTTTTTGGTCTCTGTAAGGTCAGATTGACCCTTTTATTCTTTAATATTTATCTTTTATCTCTCACTTCAGATGGGAAGTAAATAGATTTAAATGGGATTGCCAGTGTATGAAATGTCCTGCCTTGCTGCCACCCCATTTTTTTGTTTTTTTGTTTTGAGATTTAGGATTCACAGTTGTTGGTTTCCTCTGAAATCTCTTCTGCTTAATCTGCTCAGTCAGAAGCCTCATGCTATTCTGTTAATTCTGAATTTTGTTGCTATGGTGCAATGCTCTTCTCAGCTTCATTTATGCAGTCCCTCTCTACCAACATTTTGCTCTCCATGTGCCTCCGTTTCCTTATTTACTCTTATACTCCTTTTGGCAGGCTCTTTCTGGCATGTGTGTTCCAGTCCTGTCCTCAATCTCCAGTGAATGCCTCACTAGCAAAGCAGACCCCAGACACATGAAGGCAAAGATCAGTGAGAATAAGTACAAGCAAAGGCTTGTAGAATCTGCCCGTAGAATCTGCCCATAGAATCAGCAAATATTAACCCTAATTAAATAAGACAAGTAGTTCTAAATGCTGTATATAGGGGCATCTATATTGAAGTTTTTGGGAGCTCTTTCCAGGTAAGGAAATTGAATCTTTAGAACTAAAATTAGGATGCTAGAACAATAGCTTCTTATATATACTAGCAGCTACAAAGGTTTTGTTGCAAGACTAAGAAGATTTTTACAAAACAGTATATGCATTCTTTCTTGCTGTAAAACAATATACTAAATTCTTTCTTTAAAATACATTTTTCTTTGCTTTAAGAGAGAATGTCCTATTTTATTTGGCTTACTTATGGACAAGTAGACACATTGTACTAGCAAGAATATATCAATGCTTGTAAGTTTCTTTATAATATGCCTATGAAAAATCAGTACAATCTAATCATACTTACTAAAAAACACCAATTATAATATCCTGTATATTTTGGTTACATGGCGTAAGGCATTCGCCATCTCTGAAAATGGTGTAAGGTTCCTTTTTTTTATTTTCAAAATGCATCTTTCAAAGTGTCAGATTTGATATCATCAAAGTATATTACAGTTAAAACTAATAGCCATGTCTCTACTGAAATTCACCTTTGTGAAAAATTGTTGAAAAATCATCACATATCATCAAAAACCAAAATAATTTGATATCATTTTTGCATTTAATTGCTTAAGCTGTTTCATAAATGTGAAAAAGAATATTTGCAAAGAAAAAAGCATCATCAAACTGTTAAGTATCCATTTTTTAGTAGTTACATTCTGTCAAAGATTGGATGCTCAGAAACTCAGTTGCAATACTTTTCATAAAAGTGATGAGTGGTTATCCACAAATTCCTCAGCTAGAACATTTATAATTTCATCCTTAGGTTTAATTTTTAATTGTCCTGTTTTGTAGGTTTATTTTAATTATTGTATTTATACATACAATAAGATAAATGCCAAATGTTTAGGAAAAATCACTTCAAGAAAAGTAGTGTAAAGCCACATCTGGAATAAAAAGGTGATTTCATGCAAGATTCTATCACACAGAAACAAATAGTAATAGCACTACAGACCTGGAGACCTCTTCATTCCATTCTTTTTGCTGCCTTGATAGAATATAGAAATGCAATACTATAGATGTAATGATCTAATTAATTTAGGTGTCATATCACCTGATGAAGCAAGTAACTTTTTTTATGTTTTCACAAGTGACAAGAAAGTGGATAAATTATGTAGCCCCTCTAAAGCCTGTCAACAACAGCACTGGTATCAAAACAGTGTTTGGGAGACATTACTATGAACAGTTCCTAAAATTAAGTGTTCTGAGACTATTTTGTTTAATTTGGATACAGAAGTATTTGAATATCTGACCTGGGGAATGATAAATGAGCTTAGTTTGCAAAACTACCACTGTTCAGGTACTCTCGAGGTTTATTATCTTTTCCCAAATGTAAAGGCACTAAATTGGCAAGAAACTTGAAAAGGCTAAATTTTGTATTTCAGTGCTTCTCCTACATCTCACTTCAGCAAGTTTAACACTTTAGCTAAAGTCAATGACTTGTGAAATTTTGGAGGGGGAAAGCAGTGCCATTTCTGTATCTGTGTTTCGTTGTCCTGGAAAATGTTTTGCATAATCACTGTTCCAGTTTATGAAGCACATGCAAAAACATGTACATTTCTTGAATGTCTGCTGGTTCCTTATCTCTGTGTCTTTTACTGTGATGTTATAGAGCTTGGATCATATGGAAACCTAAAATATTATGACACAATGACTGAAGAAGGTAAGAAATATTTTAGAATTGTTTGTATGAGCTTTTTTTGAAGCCCTCTGAGTGCCTTTTTTGTGTTTACATTTTCCTTTGTTTTTCTTGGTCCTATTTTCATTTTCTCCATTTTTGAATAACTCATTTTTGCATGTGTTTATTGGTGGCTCAATCAGTTACGATTCTTTTTTCAAGTCTTTGTTTTCAACATTTCAGTTCTGCTATTTCAGGTAAGAAAATACAATGGGATGCTTTTAGCAAAGAACATATGGAAAACCATACTTGCAAATTATATGGCACAGTATAACATAGATTGTAGGTGCTTATTTGATGCCATGTTTTACAATGCATTCAAGAAGAGGAATTAATTTATGGATTTTCAAATCACTTAGAACAATTGATAAATGACTTCAGTTTACTGCATTTTTGAAAAGAAATTAATAACCTTTAAAACTAGACATGTTTATTCCTGGAGTATTAATTGTATGCTTGATTGCAGTGCAAAAAAAATTGCAGTTTGAAGCCCACATTCTAGCAATACAAGAAGGAAGTAATTAGGGCCTGAATCAGGGCTCAGTGAAATCTCAGGAAATTTTTATGCTGATTCAAAAGCACTGCAGTTCTATCATACTAATTCAGGAAAGCAGTTAACTCTGTACTAAATTTCCAGCACATGCTTTTTGTCCTAGTGCGGTCAGCATTTCTACAAGTCGGAATTATCCCTGAACTCAGACCTGATTGTCTGTAGGATTGAGGCCTCTTGTCTATCCCTCTGATTATAATGCCAGATAGGTGTTTTCATTATGTTAAGTTTAGAGATTAGCAGCATGTTTGGGGATGGGGTAAATATTGAGGACTCTAGAAAAGTTAGCCGCCTATTCCTACTTGTTTTTAATCTTGGGAATTTAAGACAAATGCTGTAATTCTCTCTTTTTAAAAACACAATTGCTTTCCAGTGTTGAGTAATCTTGAAGATTTTAAGAGAATCTTCATTGCATTACTTACTCATGATCATTCCTCAGGGAGGACAGAAAGTGATAATGCCTGTTTCCCTCTTTCTGTATCTGCTGTTGATACACCAATATAACCATCCGGTTCTGGGGCTGGCTGTGGGAGGTGGTTCCATGCACCTTTGCACCACATGTTGGAAGATGCTCTTTTCCTCTGTGGCAGGCCTGAACTTGTAGAATGGTCTTGCCTCACTGCTCTCCATTGCCCAGATTAAGCATCTGCTTCACAAGGGTGGTACCAATATAAGAAAATATGTCTGAAAGTCGATTTTAACAGGCAAATAGTGGTGTCTATGTTGTTTAAATAGACACCAAGAGCCTGTAAGGAGACATTACCCTGGGCCACTCAGCTATGGCTACCAGAAATAAAGCTTTTGTGGTATGTCTTATCTCAGTCTTCATTACAATCAAGATAAAAAAGTAATTTCTCATTGTAGCCTTAAACCTGGGTATGTTAAGGGTTTTATTTTTATTATAAATAAAAAATAAATATCTATTATTTCAAAAGTAGCCTTCTGAGATTCATAAATACCCTATTGACATCTAAATGTAGTTATTTGTAGGGAAACACCGGTTGCAATACAACACATACATATATGTATATTATTCCTGTGCCTATGCAGAATTAATGCTTTTAATATTCAGTGTCACCTCAGCATGCATTTCTCATGAATCAATAATTCAGGACCATACCATAGCAACAGGAACAATTCAGTAGCAGAAATAAGAAGGAAACTCTTTGTCTTTAGAAGCACTAAAACTGACAAGAGTCTATGGTGCAGTTTGCCTTCTCAAATAGAACCATCATCATTTTCACTATTCTTTCACAAGGCAAGTAATGATTAGTGTGTCTCAGAAGTTGTATTTTGATCAAAGTGTACTATATTTTCAGCTTTGTGTTTGGATTTTCAGAAGTTTAGCTGCTATCACACTTACTTGCATTACCCATTTACTTCTTTCTCTTTCTTTTTTTGACTGAGATTTTTGTACCTTTTGCACAGCAACTTAGTCACAGGAATACATAAATCCAGTTACAAAACCATTGATTTTTTGTAACATCCTTATGTCCAGTCCTTAAGCCTGGAGTGTAGATATGGAATATTTTTTTCAGTTCTCCAGTGAAGAAACTCAGGTGCATTTATTCTTCCTGCTGCATCAGAAGAGTCATGGACAAGAATTAATGGTTAAGCTATAATACACAATTATATTTAGCCTAATGGCCAGAGAGCCATTGTGCTCCATATATTAGAAACTGATTTCTATTGTTTTGACCATTTCTCTTTGGTCTGAAAGTGACTTTAAATTAATTTTAGATTAACTGAGAGAGTAAATGTGGCCCACAAGATGAGAAGAAACCCATGCTCTGATCTTGTGCTCCACCAATAGTCTATAACATGACAAAATTGCATGTGTTTTCATTTGATACTTCTGCTTGATCTTAAAGAAGAAAGCATGTAAGGTGGATTTCTGGATTTAGATTGGTAGTGGCTCACTAATTATCTTTCACATCAGGTCATGAGCAGAATTACTAAGTACAGTTCAGAGTGCTCAACAGCCACAGATTTGACATGTTCAGACTCATGAAAGCTTGGCTATAGCTACGTAGATGCAGTAATATTCCTTTGATCTCAGACTGAAAACAAGGCAAGTGGTAGAGTCTTAAATTTTTTAAATTAGTGAATTTCTGAATAACTGTTTTCACATCAAATCAGATGTTTTTCTGAGCCAGGTAGCCTGTACACTGCAATTTAGTTTGTTGATAAAGGATTGGCTTTCTAATACATCCCTTATCAAGAGGAGAATGTCTGCCAGCTAATGCCAGCTGGAGTTAGTCGTGCAGATCAACGCATATCTACATTATGCCATACTGATTTGTTTGTATCTATTCAAACAAAAAACAATGTAGTTTTAAGCTACCTTGGTAATCATCTGGCCTTGATCAGCTCTTCCTTCCGTTTCAAACTATAATAAGCTGCCAAATCTGTTGGAGTTTAGTGAACCTAGATTAAGAATTTTCTATAGCGATCTGTCCTATTTTAGGTCCATGGAAGCAAGCATTGTCATTCATCTGAACTCTCATTATACCGCCTGTTGTGAAAAGCTCTGTTGCATAGTCAAACCATAGTACATAGGACTGTTCCAGAGGAAACAGAGGCACCTACCTTCTAGAAATAAGAACAGTGACATAAGATTCCTATGCTTGCTGTATTTAATGACTCCATCATTTCACCTAGAGATAAGAAAAAAGACATAAGAGAAGATCTGTGCCTAAGATTGACCTTAGTGGTTTTCTGAAAATTGGAATTACTTAGATACATCCTCAGCTGGTCCTTTTTCTTGGTGGCTCTGTGCTTCCCCTTCAGTGAACAAGTTTTGGTTTGGTTTAAAGGAGGAAAAGGGTAGAGAAAAGGAGGGAGGGTGGGAGAGGGAGAGGGAGCATTGCTCTGCTGTCTTTTCTACATTTCAGTGTCTTCATGCAGGCGAGTGCTACTGCTTTTGTCAGTTTCATGTTTTTGATAGTTAATAATGTTTTTTAATAATTTCCTTGCACTTTTGTTACCTACATTGAGTGAATCTAATCGAAGGAAATGATGTAAAACAATGTAAACTGAATTGTGCATCTACTGAGAAATAACAATAAATCAAAATACATTTTCCATTTCAAATGTTGATTTTAACTTACATGACAGTGACTTACAACTGTGGAACAGTCTCCCGAATTAAATGGTGTAACTTAAAATTGTTAAAAGTCAGTTTCAGAAATTCTTTCTAAAGATACTTGGAGGCTTTTGTAAATGTGGAAAAAAAATGAAGGACACATTCCATTTAACTAATCTAAACCAGTGTGAATCTCTGTGAAGATATTTTCTTTTCAGTTCTATAGTGGTCATGCTTCTCTGTTAAGAAAACCTACACAGTTTCACTCTGTCTCAAATAAAATACCAGAATATCCTTAGGTTCTTCATCATTTTAATTAATCTCTAAAACTGGATCTTTAATTGAAAGGTCTTATGCCGTCTTGGAATAGGTGGAGACATGGATGGCTCCACATATATTTTTCAGAAATGTGTCAGCTGCATCATTTTCATCGCTTGCGTAAAATACCTTTCTATATGTGGCATCACAAGCTGAATTCTCAAACATATAAAGATGACTTGGAATCTGAAAGATAGCACAATCCTTTAGGAAACTGAAACTATATCAGGCATATTTTAATATCTACTTACTCTTCTGGGTAAGCAGTTTTAAATGCCCCTACTCTTTCAAAAGAAGTTAGGAACCACCATGACTCAGCATTTCAGCCTAAAATATTTGGGGATATGATCAGTATTTTTTCTAGGTTTTTTTCTCTTTTAACTGCTATCCCAAAAAATTCTTGTTCTTTCTCTCACTCCCTCTAATTCTTTGTTACTTCTTCCCTTCTAACTAGAATCTCTGCCTCTTATCCTGTGCAGTGAAATAATGAGATGCCTTCTTATTTATGATTGTATTCTATGCTTAAATACTATTCTGCAGGTGTTTAATTCTGTGTGACAAAAAAGATAATGTTTATAAAATATTGTGGATTGCTAATTTTGATTTTTTTTTGGAGCATGATGTGTTTGTGAAAAGATAGGGACTGCAGAAAGAATAGTATGGCTTATTAAATATTTGTGGTATTTTTATTACTTTCCAAGTAGTTTTCTGTTGAGAAACTAGTTCAACTTCCCAGCAAATTATAGTTGCTAGTCCCTGTGAATTGGTCATATGCTTCTCCACGTAAAAAAGTGTGGGTACAGGGCTGTGAAGCTTCTGTTTTAAGGAAAGAGAGGATTTCTTTCCTGACTAATGATTTACCCTTGTACGTTTGGAATTTCTCCGAGTTTTTAGCTTAGCAACAAGTGATGCTATCCAAATAACTGAATTAATTCAGGATTTATTACTTTTACTTTCCACTGTTAGTCTTTTATATCATTCCATTGACATATCTTCTCGTCTTAAGCCTATGCTGGTTTTGCTGCAGGGACACCAACAGTTTTCAATTGAATTTTTTTACTGGAGATGAAGAATTAAAAGAGCTACAGGCCCTGTATCATAATAGTATTTTTAGTTAGAAAATGTGCTGTAAAATAGCCACCAGTTAGACTTCTTAAAAATATTTTAAAATGCTTAAAGTCAATAACAATCAGGATAAATCAGTAAAGGCAGATACATCAGCTTTCTACACATCATAGGCTGTCATAAGATGTTCAAAGAGTCCTTACATAGAAAGATCTATGAAGGCAGAAAAAGGTTTCATTTTACCTAATCTGGACATCTTTGAAATTACTTTGTTTTAATGTATCATTTGGACACAGTGGTCAATAAAGAGTGACAAAATATGGGATCTCCGGAGAGTGTGTTGCCCTAGAGAGAGTGTAGAGGTTGAGTTGCATAGTTAACTTCATGGGAGACAAAAAAAAACCAACCTGGCAGGTTTAGAAAAAAAATTACCTCTAAGAATCTGATATGAAATTCTGGAGACTTCTTCTTCCCCTTCTGAATCACAGAATCACAGAATGTACTGAGTTGGAAGGTACCCACAAGGATCATCAAGTTCAACTCCTGCTTCCTCACTGAACAGGCCCAAGAGTCGCACCATGTGCCTCACAGCACTGTCCAAATGTGTCTTGAACTCTCTCAGGCTGGAGCTGTGACCACTGCCCTGGGGAGCTGTTCCATTGCCCAGCCACCCTCTGGGTGAAGAACCTTTTTCCTAATATCCAACATAAACCTCCCTGACACAGCTTCAGGCCATTCCCTCAGGTGCTGTCACTGTCACCACAGAGGAGGGATCAGTGCCTGCCCCTCCTCTGCCCCTCACGAGTAAGTTGTGGACTGCAGTGACGGCTCCCCTCACTCTCCTCTTCTCCAGGCTGAGCAGACCAAGTGACCTCACCTGCTCCTCATACTTCCCCTCAAGGCCCTTCACCATATTTATAGTCCTTCTTTGGACACTCTCTAACAGTTTAATGTCTTTCTCATATCATGACACTCCAAACTGCCCCAGCGCTCGAGGTGAGGCTGCCCCAGCTCAGAGCAGAGCAGGACAATTCTCTCCCTTGCCTGGCTGGTGAAGCTGTGCCTGATGCCCCCTGGGACAGGGTTGGCCCTCCTGGCTGCCAGGGCACTGCTGATCCATGTGCAACTTGCCAGGTGCCTTTCCATGGCCCTGCTTACAGCATCTCATTCCCAGTCTCTCCATACATCCAGGGTTGCCCCATCCCAGATGAAGAATCCGGCACTTTCCCTGGTTGAACTTCATGTCGTTGGTGATTGCCCAAATCCCTGATTTGTCAAGGCCTCTCTGCAGGGTCTCCCTACCTTTTGAGGGAGTCAGCAGCTCCTCCCTTTTTGGGAACTTGCTGAGTATTCCTTCCAGTCCTACATCCAAGTAATCTATGAAGATGTTGAAGAGCAGAGGGTCGAGAATGGAATCCTGTGGAGCCCCAGTAGTGACAGGTTCCCAGTCTGATGACAGACTGTAACCATTTGTGCCTGTCCCGTGACCTGGTTGCTCACCATGATGTGTTTATCCAGCTGTGGGCTGCACATTTTTTCCAGAAGGATCCTGTGAGAGACAGTATTAGAAGATTTACTGAAATGCAAAAAGATTACATAAATTAGTTGCTGTTTATCAACAGGGTGTGTTATCATAAAAGGAAATGAGGTTTGATAAGCAGGACTTTCCCCACATGCTGGCTGTGATAAGTGATAGTGTTGTCTTTCAGGTGTTTTTCAGTAACTCCCAGAATAATCTTCATAATTTTACCAAGCACTGAAGTGAGTAGAAGTCAAGACAAATAGATAAGTTCAAAGTGACAAAACTGACAACACTCACTATAATGCAATGTATGTGTTAATATGAAATTCTGTTCTGCAGTACTACTAATTGAGAATTGAAACTGTTTGTGTTTATTTATGATATCTTGATTCATTGTATTCATCTTCTGCTTCAGCTGAAATCTTACACCAGCACATTTATAGGTGAAACTTTACTGACTTCTTCCAAAGAAAAATAATAGCTTTTCGTTTCAATTTCTTGTTCTATTAATTGCTGAGTTCTCAAAAAAAAAAAAATTCATTTCTATAAAAAAAGAAAGAAAAAAAAAACCCCAACCATGTATACAGGAACATGAGATAGTGTTTAATAGCATATTTGCTGTTTGAGGAAGAATTGAAATGGATTATCAGCAGTGATCTATAGAGACTAAGCTATGTCAAATAAACTTTGCATCTCAAAATGGCTGCATTGTAATAATTACAATGTTTTCTTTTAGGAAAGTTCAAGGAAAGGGCCTCAATTCTGCATAAGATTGCCAAAAAAAAGTGCCAGGTGGAAGACAGTGAAAGGCAGAATGGAGCTGCTAATCATGGTGAGTGCAACATTGCAGATTTATCACCTCTGCCTGAGAGTGTCTTTCACTGTTTTATTTTGTTTGAAAATTGTTAATCATTACTTTCTCCTACATTGCATGTGCTATCTTAGTAAAAATACTCTGATTATATGCACTAAAGAATATAAAATTTATGGATGGGACAGAAGTTAAATGCAAGAATAGAAAGCCAGCCAAGGCATAAAGAAAGCCTTCTAGGCAGGTTGAAAAGAAAAAGTAAAGCTGATTTTGGTTATATGTTGAAGTGACAGAGAGGCAAAACTTCTTTGCAGTATATATGGGAAAATATAATTAATTTATTGAAATGTTCTAGTAGAATCTGTTTTATATGGTACCATCCTTCTCACAAAAAGCATCACCTTCATATTTAAGATTTGTTTTGTCTGTATACTGCTTTCTGGGAGTCATTGAGGCTCATCTATGCTAATTGTGGAAAATTAACTTACTAGAGTTTGCCATTAAGGCAAGAATTTTTATTTTAGCTCCAAAGGTCCTATGCTAAAGGAAAATCTGTACCATGACCTGTTTTCTCTACTTTACCTCAGCATATTATCTGCGTTAGAAAACCATATACAAATGTGTCCAATAAAATCTGAATAATTTTATTACTTGACACTTTTTCTGACCTTGTGTTATGTTTACATAGTATTTGCTTCCAAAATCAGGCAGTTGGTTGGGATGGTCTGTTAATAAACCATAATGCTGACTGCGGGGTTAAGAGACAACACACATATTCTGAAATAATTACAGATAGTCTGGCACTCTGCTGTTGCTGTGATCTCAGATTTTTAATTTAGAAGAATCTCAGGATAGCAGTAATGTAACTAGACAGCTGTATTTACTTCTATGCACAAGAGCATACCATAAGGCATGTTGAACTTGAGTAAGGCATTTCATGTTGCTATTCCCATTACTTTGTATTGTCCAAGGGATTTTGTGCTATTGACACATTTATGTACTACATACTTATAGAGGTAATTACCACTTAGAGTATTCCAAGATAGTAAAACTAAGAATAAATTTTAATAAATTTAGCATTGGAAACCAAAGGCCTAACTTTATCCCTTTAACTCCTGTGAAAGTTTAGCACAAGGACTACAGAATTCTGACTTAAAGATCATCCTCTAAGATATTATTACACCATATGTTTATTTTTTCCCCATATTTTTGCATGGAAGATAGTAGGATTACAGCTTGTAAGTAACCTTACTAATTGCAGGGGTTAGTGTGTTGTAAAACTTTTATCGCTGAACATATCCCCTCAGCTGTATTCAGCACAGTGCATTCTATAATGTCAGGGGTAAATGCTATATGTCACTTTTTACCTAAAATATTAGGCTCCATGCATTTAGCATAAACAAAGAGCACTAAATATTGCAATGAACCTAAATATTTATCAAAATGCTAACTCACTGCTTATAAGATTTTTATTGAAAATGTGTACTAGACAATTTTTTTTCTTTCTCTTTTAACACATATGTTGGCTCAACTTTAGTTTTCTCAGACTTAATATATAACAGCTATTTCACTAATATATTTGTAATTTAATATTCTATCTGTTGTTTTCCCTCTCTTATCTATGGATGATGCCACAGAGAAAGGTGCAAAAGTGGAAGTTGCAGTAACACCACCGAGTGATTCAGGACCAGTGCAGAATGGAATCGCCCATAATGTTGAAGAGGTTAAAGACTTTTTTATTCTTCTTTTTATTCTTGTGTTAGCAAATATATTGCATATTTGAATGTGCTTTTCACTGAGAGTAAACATCTTAATAGAAAGAAGCTGACAGTATGAACTCTCTACATAATATTTAGTTTTCATTTACAGCTGAACCCAGTGCATAGTTTGCCATATGTAAAAGATCTTACCTTCTGTTCCTGCCCTTTAGTGTAAGGTAAGGTTGGAGTCTAGAATCTATTCTTTTGGGAAATGTATTTTTACTGTACAGATAAGAAGTTTGAAGCCATAAATATAGCTAATAGAAATTGCTTGTCACATTGCACAAAGCCTGTTCTCTTAAGAGAACCTGTCATGATGTGCATCATGAAATAATCAAAATTCATTATGAAAGAGGACCAGTACACAAACTTCTGTATACTGCCTTCTGTTATCTTGCTTCATAATATTTTTTCCTACTGAGTATATTCAGTGAAAACAATGAAGAAAAAGCAATCCCGTATCACAGCAAGTTCACATGCTTTTAATTTACATTGTAATAAAACATTTCCTTGGCTTGTTCAGAAATCTGCAAGGTCAAGGAGCTTTATCATTTGAGATAATGGTTTCAATTTCAAGCCACTGCAGGGAAGAAGGGAAAATTATTGCAAGAGTACATTACTCAACAATGTGCAATTCCTTTCAGCTCCCTTTAGACAGTTTAAATTTGCAGTGATGCAAGCTCTGGAACTTTTATGTTAATTTCAGCAAGTATTAGGACATTCTGAACAGTGATTCTAATGTATTAGATGTGGGATACATTATTTATCCTTATCCAAATGGCATAATAGAACAAAGCAGGGCAGTTTGTAACTGGTGGAGGAATGAGTCTGCAGATTTAGCTCAATCAATCTAAATGAAAGGATTTATCTGCTGTCAAAATAAAACCTAGCAGTCTCCTAACAGCATTTTGAGATGGTCCATGCTGGATTCCTCCCCAGTGGCCTTTCCAATTTTGTCTTCTTCCAGCGGTAACCTGGCAGCTTTCTTAGGCTGCTTTAGTATTGCTGAAACATATTTTATAATTTAAAAGTACATACTGGAATTTTTGAGAAGCTGTAATACAAATAATTTACTCATCCATGGAACAAGTAAATAGGCTTCCATAATACTTAGGACCCTACTTCACTGTCAGGGTCTCTGCCAGCTCTGTAGTGTACTAGAGGCTCTCCTTAATGTATTGCCTGGCTTTTGTGCATGGCTTCCTTAATCGCCTTTCCAAACTCTACCATCACTCTGAAGATAACACTGGGTGATTGAGTTTCCTTCTGCTCTGTATATTGAGATAAGGTTACTAATAAGATTACTCTCCATTTATAGAAGACAACAAAATTTGCAGGCAACAACAGAAGGCCACTCACAATATTTCTGTGACCCTTTCCATTGATGCATATTAAAATTTGAAGAAGGGAACTTGGTCATTGCCCTCGTAAGCCTTTTTTTTTAGCTTTTGAAAACTTGACCTACAAATGGTCTTGAATTTTGATCTTTTTGTAACCAAGTGTGCTCCATTGTATTGATACCATTTGCTTCTGTTTCTAAGTAGAATTCAATCAAATTAATCAAATTGCTTGAAATTTAGATTGTTTTTCCTTACTTTGATGGAAAAGAAATTTCTGTAGTGTGAGAATTTGGAAAGACAATATAAAATTGCTTCTCTCTGGTTTTCAATTTGTATAGTCTAAGGATAAGGTTTTGCGATCTGTAAGCGTTGCATAGAAAAATCCCTTAAAAAAAAAACTGTTAGTGCCACCCTGTTGTGGTAATAATAATTTAGAACTGAGAAAACTAGAGACACTGTCAGTCTGGACTGACAAAGCTTCAAGTATGCCTTTAGGGGAAAAAAATGCTGTCCTGAAAACCGCAGGATGTGAAATTGCTCTAGTCACGTAGCAGGTCATTGTGAAGCATGTTTGCCATGATGATACAGAAGACCTGCACAGGCATCTAGTTCTTTCTCCTCCATTGTCAAGTTCCACTATGGTCTTCATGCTTCCCCTCTTGCAAAACAAGCATATTTCTGAGTTTTTCTTATTTTTCACTGATGTAGATTATAGTGTCTGGGTCTAAATCCATGGACACAAGAATTTTAGAATATCAATCTCTACATTGGAGTTAGAATTGTCTGAAAATAAGTACACTAAATTTTCTATGTTCCTCTATTAAAATCCGAATATGCACAAAAATCCATTTAACATATAAATTCCCTATTATTTTAAAATTACAATGTTGAGAAAAAGACCCTTGTGAAAAAAAGATGGTCTCAGGCTAAGACTGCACAGGAAAAAAAACAGCTTTCATATTGTATTTTAATTTTCGTATACTTGTAAAATAATTTTTTAAAAGAATAATACTCCCAATTGCCATGATTTAGTTTTCCACTTACCTCATGGTTTCTTTAGGGGCTTTTAAGGAACCTCTTTATATTTTTTCCCAAATAATTTTTCTTTCCTCCTTTCCTTCTCTTTCAAGAAAGAAGGAAAGGCTTACACAGAGGTGAAACGCCACATAAGACAGATGCCAGGTCACTGTCAAGTTAATGACTCCTGAAAGGTGTCATGACTATGTGGACTTCACCTAATTTATTTGGGATTTTTTTGTTTTGTTTTTTTTTTTTGTTTTTAATTTCTTCATTTCTCTCTTCCAAAGTCCACTGTCTTGCTCTTCCCTTTCCCTTTTTCCTAGGACTTTAATTCAATTTTTCTTACTCCACTGTCCTTCGGGGAAATTCAACTGTTCTCTTTCTAGCTCAAGCCCTTGAGCAACAAGAAAAACTCTCTCAATGCTGCTTGCAGAAATTCAGAAAGGGTGTCCAGAAAATGTACCCAGCAATATTTGTGTCTGATAGTGAGACTCTTGTCGCCCCACTTTACTATAAGTAGCAGCTGATATCCTACTCTTTGATAAAACTGGGATCATCAGCTAAGGACAGATGGCTGTGGTCTCCTTCCTACTTTTTAGCCAGAGCAGGAAGGAGCAATACCTGCTCCCACCATACCATCTGTAAGACATTACTGCTTTATTTGAAGTTAGAAATTGCCTTCCTTTCTCCTGGATATTGCATCTTCCTTGGGGATTTTGTTCTACTTACAGCAGTCTGTCTCTTAACCTTTAGCAGGTTGCCACAGAGGAGAAGATTCTGTTATATAACACTTCACAGAGTGGTACCAAGCATGCACAAGAAAATGAAAGAAGACTAAAAGGACACTTATTAGCTCATTAGATGTTTTATAAAGTGTCCTTCAGAATGTGATCCTTCTGAGAAGTTCACTTCCACCCCCTGACATCTTCTTAACTAGCATTTGGTAGCTGTTTTAACCTGTGGCTTACCTAAAAATAGTTTCCAATCTGAACACCTTTTCCTCCCACCCACACATGCACGCACACATGCACGCACATACATACATACACACGTACACACGCGCATGGGTTTTCCTGTTTCCGTGGAAACCCTGCTGGAAAGTATTTACATGCCAACCATGACTGAGATAAGTTTTCCATGAAAATATAAGGCAATTTTTATGTCACAGGAGAGTGGTGCAAAAGCTTAATTGCTTCCATTGGATTTAATCTGCTTACCTGAGCAAGAGTCTGGCAAAGCATGTTTTGCCTTCCCCACTGAAGAGCAGCAGCACCATTTCAGGACAGAGCATTGACTGGGACATATCCCCCCTGCCCTGGAATACTCATTCCATTCACATCAAATTAGCTTGGTGAGAATGTGAGTAGCACTGCATTCTTTGTCTTACGGTATGAATCTGAGCTATGTTAAACTTTACTATTTCATAGAGAGAGAGCGTAGAGAAGATTAGAGCAGCCTTTGTTGTAAGGCTGTGATATATTCCAGCATCCCTGGAAGTCGTTTGATTCATCATGAAAAGGTTATTTTCCAAATCCCAAATACTTTTTCAGCTGCCACACTTGGACTAAAGTAAATGTCTGCATTTCGTTTGTTCATTGTAACTTAAAGAGAAGGTGCTGCGATCAAATGGAGTTGATCTTTATTTTCACAATTCTACTTAGTTGCCTGCTCCACATTTTTTGCTGCTGTATACCAGTTTGACTTACTTAAAAATTAGGACTGTTAAAAATGGCATGAGGATGAAGTCTTATTCTTTAGAAGTATCTCCATGATACCATAGCTGTTATTTCTCCAGGTGAACTGACTGCAGTTTTGTGTGTTACATTCTGAGAATTTCTTCTCAAATTCCCTAAAGAGAGCTATAACACAGCATAAAAACTAGCATAAAAGTTTTGGGAGCTGTAATTTTACCTATTTCTGCAAGTGCAGAAATAAGAGGACACAAGCAGCAAGAGGAGAATCTGAACCAAAGACTTACCTGACCTTACTCCTTCCTGTAGGGCCCACTCTAAGAATAGCTCTTTTCATCTCTTTTCAGTGATGGTGCAGCAAGGATTAGCACAAATTAGCCATCCTAAGAAGAGTATCCACATATACAGAATGCATTCTGAAAGCTAATGGATTTAATATTATTGCCTGCTTGAATTTTATTCAAGAATTTGTAAGGAAAGATGTTGCTTTCTTAGTCACCCTACAGAAATTGCATACTCTTGTACTAGCTTACTCTCTCACGTTGTTTCACTTTTTTTTCTTTAAATGACAAGAAGATAAATGAGTGATGTGGCTTACAGATAAGGAGAAGGCAGAGACTTGAGGCTGTTCATAGAGTATTGTCTACATTCTCTGCCATTCTAGTAAAATAGATTAATGTGAGATGTGCCCTTCTAAAGAAAAAAAATAAACCTTGATTTTGAAAATCACTATACACCTCTGGGACAGAGTACATTTGAGATCACAATTACATCTCTTTTTCTTGACTTACTCATTGTGAAAATTTGGGTTGTACAGAACTCATTTCCAAAAAATAAACCACGAAAACAATCTAACAAACAAACAAAAACCCACCCCAAAACAAAAGAAGACCTGAGCAGTCCTTTGCAGCA